CTTGCAGCTCTTAAAATCTACCCTGGTGCTGTTTTGCAGAACATCGTAGGAAGGCAAATATTTCCACAATCCTGACAGCCATACACCTTCATAGAACTTCCTCAGCAAATAATGCTGACTGCCACTAATATTGCAGAAGCCCTCACTATACACACACACACACATCCCACCTTCATTGTTGACCTTGTCACACTTGAAACATTGAATCTCTATTCAGAAAAACAGAACTGAGAAGCCCCGCAGTAGTTTACGCCTTCTTTGGGAGGATCCCAGCTCCAGAGGAGAGTGAAGATCAAGGAAAGAACTGGAATCTTCACTTAGTAATTTTTATGTGGGTGCTGACTTCCCATCGGGAGGAAGTGTTATAAAAGCATTGATACTTAGAGGGAAAAGGAGGAGACAGGAGGATTTGTCCAAAAGACTGAGAAGAAGCTAGGCCCTGACTGGCCAGGAAATTTGGATTGCTTAGATAGTACAAGGCTGAGGTGGATGCAAAATGTCATAAATAAATTTTCAGCAGTCCCACAAAATTGTTTTTACTTCCAGGACAGTACAATGTGTGTAATGGATTATAAGTTTATGCTTTTCTGCATTTGTTATTTCATGCTTTGGAGTCATTTTTCAATGATCATTTTTTCAGTCTGTTTTAAGCATTTTCTGTGGTGGAGAAAAATAAATAGCTGTTCTATACTAACTGATCTCCATATTGTACATTAAGTAACTTTTCTTTTTTTAATGTTTTAAAGGTGAATATTTATTGAATACACAGATTTTTTTTTGTTGTTACATCAAAGAAACTAAAGAAACAAATTTTAACTAAATGCTGTTTTAGTTAATAACTAAGTTTTACTTCAAATACAAATTTGAAAAATGAGATGCAAAATACTAACTTTTTAAAAAAGATATTAAGGTCTGCCTTAATAGGCAAATATCTAAGGGGCTACTTGTCAAGCAATAAAAGCTTGCAAGCTGGAACAGTGAGACAATGTCCACATGTGTTCTAAGGGGAGTAGGAAACAAAGCTAAGATACAGGGCTGCTTGACATATTCTCTTATGTCGGCTATGAATAAAATCTACTTATATACAAAATGCATACTGGTTTGCCTACTGGAAGACAAAGTGAAAGGTTTACTCTCCAGGTTATCAGGAAGAATGAAATATTTCTTGAAAGAATCAGGAGGAAAGTGTTTTTAAGTAACTTTCTTAGAATAGGTCCTGCTACTTACTTTTGGGAGAGATCTTAGACAGCCTTCCTAAGCCTTGTTTTAGAGACTGACTCTCCTGACCTGAATTCACGGGCCTGGAGTCTCTAGAGTAATCTTCTTCATCTATGATGGAAGAACACATGCCAAAGAATGGTGAGATTCCCATTGCACAGGCCACATGTTGCCATGGGGGGGACACCAAAGTTCCCCCCTTTATAGCATCATCTGTCACTGGATGACACCAACAAAGGAATCAAAGAACAGCCAAAGAGAATGAGCCCTAGGCAACTAAGGCCTTTTGAAGACCCCCTTCCAGGAATGCAGCCAATTAAAAACCATTTCTCCTAACCACATGGTCAGCAGACAGGAACCAGTTACCAAATGTCTATATGAGCTCCACAGTCTCTTTCATACTCATTACACATTCTCATGACTTTCCCTTAAGCAAGCTCCCCAAATTCTTCCATGTGGGCAGAAGCTATCAGAGTGTAAAAATGGATTTGCTAACTACCTTGATTTGCTTGAGGCCCCCAGTTATCCATGTCACAGAGAAGAGCAGTGTGAGAACTGGCCGTATTAGCTAAGATACAGGGCTGCTTGACATACCAACAATCCTTTGCAGAGACGGAGAGTAAACCTAGCTGGATGTGCAGAAAATCAGCAACTCTGAAGCTACTTAAGCTCATACCAGCTTTGAAGTAGCCCCTTAGATATTTGGTGGTTTATGGAACTTCAAGACACATCCTTATCTTCAGACACTCCCCTAACTGTTGGTTATGGGGCTCTTTGACACATTCTGTTTTATGGTTTTTTTTTGGAGACATCCTCTTATCTTATTGTTTGTACTCAAGCCTTGAAGTGCCAGGACTGCTAATCACCAAGAATGCCTCCAGATTTCTGTATAAAAAGGCCACAGCTCTGACACCTGGAATTCCTCACTCCCTCTGTTTCCTGGATCTCCTCCTCCCCTTGGGAATGTGACTCCCTGCCTCTCTCCTTTCTAGGACCTGCCCAATTCCTGACTTTTTTCCAAATTCTCTGCCTTCCTTTGTTTCCTACTCCCCTTAGAACACATGTGGACATTGTCTCACTGTTCCAGCTTGCAAGCTCCTTTTCAGGCAATAAATGCATTTATAATCTTTGTAAACTGTGATTGAACTCTGGCTCATTCCAAGTTCCCCTTTTTGGGGAACTCCATAGTTCACAGGGTTTTGTTTTTGTTTTTGTTTTTGTTTTTAATTTAACAAGAGGCAATCTGTGTACATGTTCCTTCCTGTTAATCTTCAATCACCAAAGTCAATATTCTCCTTTTCTTTCACTTAGGTAGCATTTTAGACTGTTTGTTCTTGAAATTCTAACCATGTTGACTTTGGAGACATTTTCCTTGTTCTGCTTTTAACTTTCCCTTTTAGTTCCCTTTATTGGCTTTTTGTCCATCTATTAAATATGAAAATACCCCAAATCCACTTCTCAGTCTACATGTTGTTCCTTAGATATCAACTCTCATGGCTTTAACTATCATCTCTCTGCACTTAACTCCTTTGTCTATATTTCCTACTCTGACCTCTATTCTGAACTCCATTCCAATATGCCATCAGTCTATTAGACGTGTTTACTTTGCTGTCTGACTGTAATCTCATGCCCAAAATGTTTAAAATTGAACTTCTCTTTGTTCCAAACTACTTTGTTGTTCCAGAGTTTTCTATTAATGCTATTATCATTCTCTCAGTCACTCAGGTTTGGTAACTTTTAATTGATTGAACTACTCACTTCCCACTTCCAGTGAATCACCAATGTCTATTGTGGCCTTTGCAAGGTCTCCTATAACCTGTTGCTTTCTTTTCATTCTCAAGTTCTTTATTCCAAGTCTTATCATACTAGAAGCAGCATTGCCTGGTGGATAGTTAGACAGTTAGTTGGCCTTGGAACCAGGAAGATGTGGTTTCAGGTCCTTCCTCTGACACATACTGGTTGTATGACCCTAGGCAAGTCATTTAATCTCTCAGTTCCCTAGGCAACTCTCTAAAATTATAAATTGCAAGATGATGTTGACCCAAATTGACAGAGGGAATTTCCTCATCCAGGGAGTTCTCCATACCAATGAAATCACAGGCTCAGCCCCACCCCATCATCTTAAATATAGTGGCCTCCCTACCTCTAGTTTTCCCCCCTCCAATCCATTCTGTACAGTGACACCAGATTAATCTTTCTAAAATATCAAAGACCATATGATTCTCCTACTCAAGGTCATCAGTATTTCTCCACTGACTACAAAGACCAAACTCCCTCATTGGTCTAATTTGAATTTTCCAGTGTCTTATTTCCTTCCCATTTCCTTACATGAACCTTCTACTGTAGCTAAGTGGTCTCTTCACTGTTCCTTGAACATATGTTGTGTTTTCCCATTTCTATGCTTTCCTAAATCTGGATGGCCCTTTCATCTTTTGTCTGCTTATCAAAATTTTACCCAAAATGTGAGTCTTGAAAAAAATGTTTGCCCATCCTTTTAGACCCAACTCATATCTTGCCTTCTGGATCACTCCAGCTTACAAAAGTTTTGTCCTCCTATGAACTTCAGAGTAGTTTACAGTCTGTGTATTTAGCACTTAGCATTTACTGACTTGCATCTCTCTAGTGGATGTCATATCTCCTCAACTAGCTTGTGAGCTCCTTGAAAACAGAGGTATTTCTCATACTTCTTGGTATTTTCTTTACCCTCCCCTCCCCTTGGCATCTGGCCCACCCTCAATTAACATTTGCTGATGAATTGATTGTATTTGTCCTTAACTAACCCTGCTTTAGTTTAAAGTGGATGCCTGCCTGGTTCTATAGTTAAGAATTTAGGGAACAAGCTTGTGACTTCCTTAATCAGTCATCTATTACTTTATAGATATCAATTGTGTACTGTTTTTCTTTTGTTCCTACGTGAAAAACCAATTTCTCCTCATTCACTTCTGGAAAATAAGATGGAAGGAAAGATATTCTAATGTTGAGAGGGACTTCCGGACTGTAAGAATCCAAAAAAAGGTCATTAAAGACGTCAAGGTGGTAGTTATAAATGAGCATATTCTAAGTGGTGTTGAAATATGTCTTTGTCCTGAAGAGTAGATTCTTGGTATTCCCAGACCCCTTCAATCTATGCCCAGAGGCCATGTGCAATTAAGGGCAGTGTTTTGTTGCTAAAGGTGGTGGTCACCCAGGGAGAAATTTTGAAACCCAAAGCAATTCCCAGCTCCGAGATCTGGGCAGACCTGGATGGGAGGCCCTGGGAGCCCCAGGGGACTGAACAGAAAACAAAATATTTTTAAATGGCACTCTGCCTCCTTTCATCTAGGGCTCTCTTAGCAGTAGGTAATAATTAAGACCTGGAAAGAGTCTGGCCACCAATCGCCAACATCTTTCAGTCTCTCCTACCCCTGCCCCAACTCCCCTCCCCACCCTTCAATTTTCCCAGACTTGGAGGGAGATAAGAGATTGGAAGAAATGATTGCAGAAAAGCTTTGCAAATACTCCTTTCAAAGAATATGGCTGATGATAATTACAGTGTTTAAAACTTGGACGCAAAGAACTTATTTCCGAAGCTGTCAAAAGCCCAGTCTGGACGAATCAATAGTCACTCCCGGCACTTCCCATCCAGAGAGTTCATTGGTGAGGTGGTGGAGGGGCGGAGGTTATGTCGGCTCCAAGGGCCCCCAGGGCAGGGCTGTAGCCAGTAGGCGTCTCTGCTAGGCTGCCAGCCTCTCTATATAGAGATTGTTGGAGTAGCAGCTGCTCAGAGTAGCTGAACAACGGAAGCCGGTGTGGAGAAGTCCTGGGAGTAGGCAGCCGACGGGGCCGCAGGCAGCAGGCGGGCGACAGCAGGCGGTGGACTACGGGCAGCATGAGCGGGACTCCGGCTTTCCTGAGCGCTGCGGAGGTGGAGCGGTACCTGAGCAGCTCCAGCCTCCTGTTACCACCCCTGGAGAAGGCCCTGGCCAACTTTTCTAGCGGCTCCGAAGGAGGAGTCGTGCAGCCAGTTCGCACCGTGGTACCTGTGGCAAAACACCGAGGGTGAGAGAGAGGGGGAAAGGATGAGGAGAAAGAAAGGCTATGTGGGTCGGGGTGGGGGTAGGGGGACTAGAGTGGGACATAGAGAGGATGCGGGAAGCCAAAAGAAAGTGAATAAAGGGAAAGGCAGAAAAGAAAAGGATACAGGATCGTAGATCCTAAAGCAGAACACCTCAGCGGCCATCTAGTCCTTTTTTGCAGATGAGGACACTGAAGCCCAGGTAGGTTAAATGATTTGACCGAGGTCACACTGGTAGGTAGTGTCAGAGGTGGGATTTAAACCAGGGTCTTCTGATACCAACACGAAATCGATAGAAGGTGGTACCCGAGAAGGAACAAGGAAAGTGCGTTGGAGTAGACACCTGGGGAAGCAGAATCGTCAACCGAAAGTAACGGGAGGAGAGGTTCTCTTGTGGAATAGTGGAAAAGGACTGGAAATGTCTCTGCAGATCTAAACTGCTTTCTGGCTTCATCTCCTTGTAGTTTCCTGGGTGTCATGCCAGCCTACAGCGCTAATGAAGATGCCCTTACCACCAAGCTAGTAACCTTCTATGAGGGAGTGAGCCCCACCTCTACTCTTCCCTCACATCAGGCCACAGTGCTGCTCTTTGAGCCCAGCAATGGCTCTCTACTCTTGGTATGTATGTGCTCCTCTGAAAAAGAAAGGCAGGTAGGATAAGTAGGTCTTTGTGAAGCTTCTTGGTTGGGTGGCCTAGGATCCAAGGTTAGAAGATATGAATGAAAATCTGAGCTGAGTGTCTTGATGATGCAGTTGTGACTGTGTGTTTGCCGATGCCTGAGTGTAAGTTACAGTGGCTGTCTAATACAAGCATAATTGTGTGTTTGTTTTTCTAAGGATGTAAAACAGTAAATCAGTGGATGTAACTGAAGGACAGTTGCATTAATAAGACAGACTGTATTCCTATGAGACTGTGTGACTGATGCTTCCCTAAGATGATCTCTTAAGATGAGTGGCTCCTGCTAATTCACGAGCCCAAAATTTACATTTCTAGGAGATACTCTCTCATTTCAAATTGGGCAAGTAGGTTGTCTTATCTGGGAATAAGGAGGCCACAAAAAGGGACCCCTCAAGCTTTGGCTGTTACAGTTTTCTATGACTTCATAAATCATATTTGAGTTTCATTAAATATATTCTCCTCAATACCAATTTACATATTTATGCCCTTTTCATTCCCTTAAATTTCTAGGTATCTGAATTGTCTTAGGCCCTTATTACTTGGAGGAAGTTGGGGATGGGAGGTTGAGTATTGGGGTAGATATAGATGTGTCTTGAATTCTACTTCCATAATGTCTCACATCTTGTTTGTTCCAAACATTTCACTCAGAAGGCTGGCTAGTACAAGCCCATACCACCTCTCTTGGTTTTCCTAACTGATTGATGTGCCTGCATCCAGTTTCTCCTTCCTCAGATCTATTCTTTACACAGCCACTGAATTAATATTCTTAAAATATTAATTCTTAAAATATCTGACAGTGTTGTTCTCTAGCTTAGAAATCTTCAGTGATTCCCCATTGCCTGTGGGATAAAATAGAAATTGTTCAGCTTCACTTCTAAAGCTGTCTGCAATCTGGCCCCCCTCCATATCCTGACTTATTTTATATCACTCCACTTGCATACTCTCCCATTCAGTCAAACTGGACTATTAGCTGTTTCTCCAAGTAGACACAATCTCCCTTATACAGGCATGCTTGGAATGTATTCCCTTTCCTATCCCAACTATTAAAATTCCCAACTTCCTTCAAGATATCAAATGCCAACTGATCCCCCTACCCATTTGTTAGGGTTTTTTTCCCCTCTCAAATTATCTTGTATTTGCTTCTCTGTGTTCATGTTGTGTCTACATAGTAGGTTTCAAACTTCTTGAGGACAGGGGCTGTTTCCTTTTTAGTTTTGTATCCCTAGTGTCTTGTACATCATAGGTACTTACTATTTGTCTAATTGAATGGAAACAAAGAGGGATTTTTTTTTTTACATTAATACATTATTGTAGGTGTCTAGCTCTTTTTATTTACCCTGGAAGAGTAGAAATGAGGTCCAGGTAAAGTCTCAAGGCCTTTTTGTGAATATCAAGGGACTGTTTTGGATCCTCAAAGGCCTGCCCAGTTCAATGACTCAAGAACTACACGACAAAGGCTAGGTGCTAAGGAATGGAAGTCTCTTGACTAGGGTATAGGGAAGCAAGGCATTGTTTTCTGATGCCCATAGTATCTCTAAACTCTGGGTGCTACTCATTCCACTTGTCAACCTTTTCCTGAAGGTCATGGATGGAAGCATAATTACTGCAAAGAGGACAGCTGCTGTGTCTGCCATTGCTACCAAGGTAAGATGTAATTCTGATGACAAGTTTTGTAGTCAAGTTGTGTGTGTCAGGAGAACAGTTTCTATCACTGATTTATTTAACGTGTAGGACCTAAGACTTGGTAAGATGAATAAGACTGAGTAAGGCATCTAGGGAAGAAAAGGCAAAGAAAAAAGTGGAATGTTAGGTCAATCAGAGCCAAGATAGACAATAGTATTTCCCAAACTGGAGATAAAGGTCAACTGTGCAAGAGAGAAAGGGTATCAGGAAGGGTGTCACTTTAAGGGAGAGAAGGAGAAACTGAGGAACTTTTGATTACTTGCTAGAGGAGTTGAAGACTAGAACTTTCAAGTCCAGTGGAGACATGCAAGAGGAGTAATACACTGAGAGGTGGGAGAAAGGAGAAATAAAAGGTTTAAACCTCCAGGAAACTTGGGAAACCAGTAGGAGGAGTAAAAGAAACAGGTGGATATTTTATGAATGTTTTAAAATTATATTTGGCTCTGTGCCCATGGGGAAGGGAATTGAGGGATTACTTTCTCATGGAACACAGTAATTGTATATGAAATGAGATAACCATGGCATCTACCTTGGTGAACTGGTTATTAATTACTTACAAACTCACTTTAGTTTTGAATAAACAGGGGATTGTTCTGAAACTTTTCCAAGGTTTGGATGGGAGACGACTTAAAATATTTGCACTAGTACTTGACCAACCTTGTTATAAGAGTAGTATTTTGCATTATATAGCACTTCTGTTTTTCAGTGCAGATTTCAATCTGAAGGAAACTTCTCTTTTATTTCTTGAAGTGTTTTTTCCTATCTTCCCTTTTGGTTTGACAATTTTACTTTGGAAGAGGGATGGTGGGGAGCTCAGAATCCATCTTACTCTGTGGCACCTTTAGGGTTCATAACAACCTGGGGTAGGTAACCCCAAATGTTCTCTACCTAAGACAACAGCATATCATTTCTTGATTCTGTATATTGATATACCCCCCCACACACACACACCCGGATGCCTAGAAGCGTTCCTAATCCTCTTTCTTTCATCGGATCAAAGAAAGTCACCTAATCCTGCCGTAATAGGATCATAGATCAAGAGCTGAAAGGACCTCCGAGGCCATAATGACTGGCATTCTAACAAGCCCAACGGAGAGCAGAGGAAAGAATTGACACCCCTGGTGATAGGGACAGTGTGATTTTTAGAAGTTGTCATGGGCTTTATTAAATTATGTGTTTTGAGCGTGGAGATGATGTTAGACATGCCCACTATTCACACAGGAAAAGTGAGGCACAAAGTGATTTATTCCAGATTACTTGAGTGCATGGGGCAAGGAGGCACAGGCATCACACCACCTGATTTGTAGCCTGAATGGCTCTTCTCTCTCTAATATGCTACAGAGAAGTAGTCTTTGTGAAATTTACTCTCTGTTGGCCATTCTTCCCTTTTCTCCAACAGTTTTTGAAACCCCCTTCAAGTGAAGTTTTGTGCATACTTGGTGCTGGTGTCCAGGCCTACAGTCATTATGAAATCTTCACAGAGCAATTCTCTTTTAAGGAGGTAAGGTGGAAGAAGATGAAAAAAAGGAGTCACTGAGGTACCTCTATCAGTAGCAGTAATAATTATCACTCACATTTACATAGTGCTTTTAAGATTTTCAAAGCATTTTTCCTCCCCACACTGGGAGATTGGAAATACAAATAATATGCTCCTGTTTTACAGATGAGGAAACTGAACCTGGAGAGAGGTAGAGGTTAAGTGACTTGTTCTTGGTTACACAGCTAGTAAATTTCTGAGACAGGATATAAATCCCAGTCTCCCGACCCAAGTCTAATGTGATTTTTACTATACTATATTGCCTCCCCACTGCCCTCAAAACGTAACTAAATCAGTGAATTACATGGAAATGTCTAGAATCAGTAGATTGTACAGGTGTCCCAAAACTCTTGAGTGTGGTTTTAAGCTATTAAAGCTTAAGCTATTTAAGTCATTAAAGCTTAAAACTACCTTCATATTTTTGGGAAACACTGCATACCCACAGGGTTATGATCTGTTTTAGCAGAGGGAATACCCACACTCATGAACTCCTCATGGATCTTTTGAAGTATTGAAAGAAATCTGCTTCAGTGTATCTTAGCCTTTTTTGTCTCATGGATCTCTGGGACACCCTGTATATATAGGATTACAAAGGAAACCATTGAAATACGATTATCAAAATATTTTTTAAAAGAGTAACAATAATAGCTAGAATTTATGTGATGCTTTAAGATTTGCAAAGTAGGGGCAGCTAGGTGGCACATTGGATAGAGCGCTAGCCCTGAGGTCATGAGGACCTGAGTTCAAATCTGGCCTCAGACACTTGATAACTCCTAGCTGTGTGACCCTGGGCAAGTCACTTAACCCCATTGCCTAGTCAAAAAAAAAAAAGGAAAAAAAAGATTTGCAAAGTACATTATAAACCTTATCTTATTTTATCCTCTCAGCAACCTTATCAAGTATCCCATTTTATAGATGAGACAACTGAGACATACAGAGGATAAGTGACTTGCTCAGGGTCACACAGCTAGTAAATGTTTGAGGCTGCTTTTGAACTCAAGTCTTCATTATCCCCCCCTTTCCCAGGTCCAGCACTATCCATTATGCTACTTAGCTGCCTGGCAAAAAGCTTCTGGAACCCCAGGTTAAGAGTCTTTGGTCTAGAGTTAGAAAAATGGGGCCAGTTTACATGTGACTGATTTCTCTCTTTTAAGGCAAAAGGGTCAGTTCATCTCCTGAATTTCTTCAGGTCCTTTCTTGCTGGGTCCTACCTGAAAACATGGAGGCAGCAAACTAGTCTTTAAAAAATGTATGTTGATAATACACAGTAAGGTGTCCATCTATTCTGGACTTTGGCTTCCCTGCCTGTTATTGTTATGTGCAACGGTCCACTGGAAAACCAGAAAGGGGATCCAATTGCTGAGAATCTTGGGGGGTACCAGGTATAGTATCCATTTGGCTACTAGACCACATGGGACCCCATCAGCTGCTTCCCCTGGTTAAAGCCTCTAGTCTCCTACTGCAGCCCCTTCTCTAAAGTAAGAATGCTTTAGGGCACCTGTATAGCTGCTGCATTCACTGAGGTACAGACTGGTTCCATTTTTCTGATTTCATATATTCTAGTGTGATCCACTGATAACACCCAAACCTAAGGTCTCAGCCACTAGATTCCTGAGCTGCTGCTCCCCTTTCCGTTCCCTTCCTAGCCTCCTTCTATCTTAGGTTATCACTCAATCAATAAGCATTTGTCAAATATTTACTATGTGTCAGACTTCAATGTCCAGATAGGCAGTGGGGAAACAAAGGCAAAAAAAAAAAAAAAGATAGAGACCTTGACTTCAAGTGGCTTACATTCTGTCAGAAGAGACTATGTATATGTGTACACATACACATGATTATGTAAAATAGAAACAAACTTATATCCAGGTGGAAGGGAGAGACACTGGAAGCTGTGGGGAGGAAGAACCAGGAAAGACCTTATCCTGTATCTTTACTGCATTCCATTCGGGCCCTGTGTACAAGAGAGTGCTACAAGGTATCAAGATACTCCATCATTAGCTATGTCCTAAATGAGCTAGTTACATGACCTCTACGCTCCCCACAACTCCTTCACAGGCTGTTCCTTTGTTGAGTGCCCAGCCCATGTGCCTAGGCCTGTGCTGGTGATCCAACAGAATTACCCTGGCTGGGGAGGTGAGAGTTGTGCAAAGTAAAGGATTTGAGAACAGTTCAAGATAAGCTGTAATCAATACTAAATCCTGTGACACAGACTAGAAATGGCAAGTTTTTGAATCCCTTTGATGTAGCAGGAAGGATGCTCATTTTTAAAATAATAGGAGTAATAGCATTTATATTTTGTTGTTCAGTCGTTTTTCAGTTGTGTCCAACTCTTCGTGACTTATTTGGGATTTTCTTGGCAAGGATACTGCAGTGGTTTGCCATTTCCTTCTCCAGCTCATTTTGCAGATGAGGAAACTGAGGCAAATAGGGTTAAGTGATTGCCCAAGGTCATGCAACTAGTAAGTGTCTGAAGCCAGATTTGAACTCAAGTATTCCTGATTCCAGGCCTGGCACTCTATCCACTATGCCACCGAGCTGTCCCAGCATTTATATAGCACTTATGTTATCTCATTTGATGCTTACCACAACCCTGTGAGGTAAATGCTATTATTCCCTTTCAATGTAAAGGGAAAAATGAGGTTTGAAACAGATTATAATTTGCCCAGGGCCATATAGCTAGAAAGTGTCTGAGGTAGGATTTGAATTCAGGTCTTCTTGACTCCAGGTTTAATGGAGTTATACTATTTCTCTGCCCTAGACTGTTTTCTTTATCGAATACCTCTTTACCTTACAGAGTGATTTCATCCACCCTGTGATTCTCTTGTATGTAATAACAATAATAATAATAATAATAACAACAACAACAACAACAACACTTACTCTGTGCCAGACCCACAGTGTTTAAGTGCTTTATAATTATCATCTCATTTGATCCTCACAGCAACCTCGGGAAGAAAATGCTATTAATATCCCCATTTTACAGTTGAGGAAACAGAAGCAAACAGAGGTTAAGTGACTTGTCTGGGATCACCCCGTTAGTGTCTGAGGTCAAATTTGAACTCAGGTCTGCGCCACCTAGTGTTGATTTGTATGTTTCCCTTCCCCTTTAGAATGTAAGCTTCTTGAAGGCAAGGGCTATTTTTGCCCTTTTTTTGTGTCCCCATTGCTTTGTATGGTACTTGATATACAGTAAACCTTTCATAGATGTTTCTTCCTTACTTGAATAATTTAGACAACCATGTCCCCTGCCTCTTCTGCAGGAAGCACTGTTCTCTAACCACCCTTGGAGTTTATATAATTGCCAGAAAGTGTGACTGTTTATAATTCCTCCTTGCCACCCTGGTTAAAGGTCAGGATATGGAATCGCACCAAGAAGAATGCTGAGAAGTTTGCTCAGACAGTGAAGGGAGATGTGCGAGTCTGCTCATCTGTCCAAGAGGCAGTGACAGGTGCAGATGTGATCATTACTGTCACCATGGCAACAAAACCCATTTTATTTGGAGAATGGGTGAAACCAGGAGCCCATATCAATGGTAAGCAACGTGGCTGAGATCCTTAGCTTTTTAAACATGATATAAATGGTATCCAGAATTCCTTTTGGACTAGGGGAGGAATGAAAGGGGTTGAGGTTGACAAGTACCATGCTCTTGTCATATAGCTTGTTGAGTCACTAAGGTTTGAATGACAAAGCACCAAAAACTTAACCATTGCATACAGGGGCCAACTCCTGACTCTGAATGCTACCAGCAAGATTAAGACATTGCAATAAGCTAGGCTAGAGAAGGCTTGAAATAAAAGTCCAAGCAAATCTTCAAGGTTAGGTGAAGGCAAAGGGTCTAGACATAGGAGTAAGGTCAGGGATCATTTGTTCTAGGTTCAGGCACATAAAGAAATGACTTTTTTTTTTCTTTTTACATGAGGCAATTGGGGTTAAGTGACTTGCCCAGGGTCACACAGCTAGTTAAGTGTCATGTGTCTGAGATTGGATTTGAACTCACATCCTCCTGACTCCAAGGCCAGAGCTCTATCCACTGTGCCACCTAGCTGCCCCCAAGAAATGACTTTTTAAAACTAGGTCCAAAACCAGGAAATTAATTTAGAGCATGGATTCTTAACCTTTTTTTGTTAAACTGTATCTTTTAACCATGACACACAGCACCCTTTTGGTAGTCTGGTGAAGTCCATGGATCCCTTCTAAGAATAATGTTTGTTGCCTGCACTCATGTTTGAAAGAAAGGCTAAATATTAGTTATGTGTTAGTGAAAATAAAGATGTATTTTTTCCCATCCAAGTTCATGTCCCCCTCACCCTCTAAAATCTACCTATAGACTTCAGATTAAGATTTAGAAGGCAAAAGGATAGGTAATAAGCAAATACTATGAGCTAAAGTTCTACCCTAACTCAGGATTTGGGTTGTTCATCTGTGTAGGGTAGGACAGATAGAGAAAAGATATGTGGGCAGTCATTTTTTGAGTGGTTTGGCAGCAGATAATAGAGACCCAGTCATAGAGACACTAAAGGGCAGAGACAAACCCAGTTGCTTGGAGGACTAGGGTCACAGAGCAGAAACCTAGACATTGGGAGGTATGAGGGTAACCATGACTTAGCATTAGGGGAGACCAGGCACAGGGAGGCCTAGCAGGGTGGGGCAGAACAGAAACTCAGTCCTTGGGAAGATTGAGGGCCACAGAGCAGAAACTCCACCAGTGATAGATAAAAGAGAAATACAGTTATTAGCAAGACTTGGAGATAGAATATCACCCCAGCCACTACGGTACCAAAGTCAGGGAAAAACAAAAAACAAAAACAAACTACCTAACTACTGAGCTGACAAGAACTTACTGACCCACGGCTCCTAATATTCCCCTTACCTGGAGATGAGATAAGTACTCTGTACTTAGCTGAACCTAATTAAAGGCAAGAGGTGATGTAATTCTTACACTGGAATTCAAAGGATGCAGCAGAAAAGAGAATGAATTCGTTGATAAGGGAATTTTTCTCAAGCCAAAACATACTCTTTTTTGTTCATATTCCTGAGCCAGAGAGTGAGAGAGAAAATCACTGCTTTCTTACATCGTCTGTGCTCTTAGGGCTGCTAAATTACATTTAATATGTTTCTGGGGCTGGAGTCTCACCAAGGGTTCTGCTTTGCTGTTTTGTTGTTGTTGTTGTTAGCTATTGGAGCCAGTAGACCTGACTGGAGAGAACTAGATGATGAAATAATGAAGAATTGTGTGCTGTATGTAGATTCCCGTGAGGCAGCCCTCAAGGAGTCTGGAGATGTCATATTGTCCGGGGTAAATTTCTTTCTTTTGTTGTTAAGCTTAGAGTGTCCACAACCTCCAGGATGTATGGGGTGTTCAGGAGAACTAGCACCTCTGGTGTGAGGGCTTGACAAGCTCCTTTCAGGGCTGCTTATCCACTTTGGTGTCCATTTGATTCCTCCAACCTCTCACCCATGGCTTCAAAGAGCTGTAACACGCTCAGCAGCCATACTCTGGTAAACCATCATGACAGATGAGCTAAACCAGATTGAGGGTAACCAGCAGTGAGTTAGGGGGATGTCTACCCCAAACATGTGAAGACTTCACCTGGCAGAATGGGCAGATGAAAACAATTTGTTCCAACAGTCATGAAGGCAGCTGAAACAGGTGCTGTGGAGGGCTTAGACTAACTTGGTGTCAAACATTGAAAACTCTTTCCCTTCGGTCTCCTCAATGGACATGGAACAGCCAAATGCTGGTTTACATGCCACCCCCACTGATGCAGACCTAACTTGATCAATGTGTGTTTTTATGTTATAGGCTGAGATCTTTGCAGAACTGGGAGAAGTGGTGAAGGGAGTAAAGCCAGCCCATCGTGAGAAAACTACAGTGTTCAAATCCTTAGGTAAGAGTCATCACTCCCTGAATAAAAATATAAACAAAAAATATGGTGGTTTGCCCAGTGGTGGAAATGGAAATTACTCCTCTGGTAACTGGAGCTATTTATAATAAATGTATGTGATATTTGTTAATAAAAACAGTAATACAGTTGTATGATTTATATACTAGAGGGGCCCGGGAGAGCATATGCTTTTAATTTAAGAAGGGGATTTAAGGTAAGTGGCAAATTTACAGGCCAACAATGCATTCATGCATCCATCATCCAGCCTCAGACACTTATTTAGCTATGTAACCCTGGGGAAGTCACTTAACCTTGGTTAAGTGCCTCAATTTTCTCATCTGTAAAGTAGGGATAATAATAGCAAGTGTTGTTGTGAGGATCAAATGAAATAATAGTTATGAAGTGCTTGGCATAGTACCTGACACATAGTTAAGGGCTACATAAATATTAGCTATTATTTTTATTGAAGACTCCTACGAGCTTAAATGAAGGAAAAGTAGTGAAAATTAGTCTCTCCTCTTGCTTTTTTGATCATTCCTTTTTTTTCTTTCCCTACTTCTCCTCCCACCCTGATAATAGTTCTATCCTGGAGTTTCCTATGGGAGAGGCCACATTACCCTTGGAGTAGTGGAGGGAACAGATCCAAGTGAACAATGAGGTTTTAGGGCCTGATCTACTGTCATTTAGTGGAAACAGCCTTTGATTTGGACTAGGTTCAGATCTTGGCTGCAATCCTATTTTCTAGATGACCTTGGAACAAGTTACTTAATCTCTATGACCCTCAATTTCTTCATCTATAAAATGGGGATAAAAATGCCTACAGAGTGTCTATCAGTAATATCTTTTGATAGAGTACTAGACTTAGCATTAGGAGAGAACTTGATTTGCATACAGCTCCAGACACTTACGACCCTGGACAAGTCACTTTACCTTCTTAAGCCCTCAATTTCCTTATCTATAAAATGGGGATAATAATGACTATAGTATTTATCTCATAGGGTTGTGGTGAGGATCAGGTGAGATAATAAATGTAAAGATTTTTTTGCAAAAATTAAAGTGCTATAGAAATGCTGGCCATTATTATTATAATTGTTGTTATAACTTTCCCAATCCACCTGCTTTACCCATGCCAAATTAACTCAGGATTTAAGGGGACAGGTATCTGTTGTAAGACAGGCAAATACAGCATAAATATCTGGCTAATGAATGCTGCTTCAATCCAAACATGGTATTCCAATGCACACAGTGACTTGTTGGAGTAGGGCTTGGCAAGACCCATGAAAGAGTCAAAACAAGTCAAGTGAGAAATCTGTTGTCCTCTTCTGAACTATAGTTCTTTTCCCCCACATAGAGACTTTGCTCTTAAGGTTAGGGCTTGTTTCCATTGGTTGGATTCTTCCTTCCTTTAAAAAAACAAACATTTATTGATTACCTACTCAATATAAGACACAAAAAGATAAGGGAACTTGGTCTCTGCCGTCAAGGACCCTCTCTTCCAGTTTGGGAGATAAGACGTGTATTCAAATAACTTAAAGGCAGCGTGTAAAATGTTCCATAATAGTAACACAGACCTAAGTACTCTTAAGAGTTCAGAGGAGAGAAAGATCACTTTCTCTGGTGTGGTCAGGAAGCCTGTGACGTTGGAGCCAAGCCTGAAAGAATGGTTTGGATTTCAGGTGACTGACACTTCCTATGTGGGCAGATTGAGGAATAAATTCTCTAACTCCTACTGTATAATATATCCAGTGGCCAATAAAAGGTGACTTTGCCAGGATAATCAGGTGAAATATTCACCTACTTGTTCCTGGTATCTGCCAGACATTCCTGAACTTCCCAGTCTTGACCCAGTCAATGACTGATCCCTTGGCTTTATGGAGTAGAGGGCAGTATGGGATTTCCTTCATCTTGTCATTTCTCATTGATTTTATCTAGAGAACAGGAATATCAGAAATCAGCCGTAATCACTTGGCCTTCAGAAATTAGGGCCTGGGTTATTTCAAGGAAACAGAATTGGTCAAAGATGATTTGGATTTTTGTCTGTTCCAGGAATGGCGGTGGAAGATACAGTTGCAGCAAAACTGGTCTATGATTCATGGTCATCTGGTAAATGAAGCAGAGGACCTAGCGCTGAGATGCTGCAACATTAAGACCTATAATTGTTGGTTGTCTCCCATAGTTTCTTATGGGGGAATATTCTTTTGCACTTAGTGTCACCTGCCTCAAAAACTAAACTAGCCATTATTGTTTGTGGTTTAAAAAAAATTACAGTATTGTGTATATCCTTTCCTCTATCTTGCTGTATCTTATTATAGTATTCTTTGTCCGTAGATATCACTACCTTTGCATTTCCCTTAAATAAAGAGTTTGCCAGTCCTCACCTGCTTGCTATGTTTCTTGTCTATGGAAGTCATGGGAGCCACATGTTTGTTCTTCCCTTTGGAATGTGGCTGGGGGGCAAAGCTTGACAAAGACATAATTGTAGTTTAACAGAGATTTTCCCAAATGAAAGCATCATAGAACCACAGATAGTAAAGCCTTAAAGACAGGGGCCGCTAGGTGGCGCAGTGGATAGAGTACTGGCCCTGAAGTCAGGAGGACCTGAGTTCAAATGTGACCTCAGACCAAACACTTGACACATACTAGCTGTGTGACCTTGGGCAAGTCACTTAACCCCAATTGCCTAAAAAAAATAAGGCCTTAAAGAATAATCTTTCCACATTTATCATGTTAGATGATAGAACTTTAAAGCCTCACATAAAGGGGAAAAACATGGTGGGGGAGGGTAAGAATTTGATTTTTTTTTTTTAAAGGAACCTTATGACAGTATGCACAGCCTCATCTAGGGAGGCAGCATGATGTAGTGGAAAGAATGCTGGATTTGGAGTCAGAGGATTTGGGTTCAAAATTTGACTCTGACACTACCCACATGACTGTGTCCAACTTGCTTGACCTCTTTGGGCATTAGTTTCCTTAATCTGTACAATGGATGAGTGGGACTAAATGCCCTTTAAAATCTTTTTCAGCTCTAAATCTAAGAGTCGGTGATCAGTTTTGCTTAGGATGAGTAATTTATTTTTTTAAAGGATTCAGAGTTTAAAAATCAGTGCTAAAAAGTTCTGAAAATTTTTTTAATTTGAAATTTTTTTCACCCTTCTCAATCACCCATGCCATAGCAATAATACACCAAATGATATTCTGTTATTTTACTATAAGATTTGGGGTAGTAACTTTCACTTCTTATTGGCCGTATGGCAAGTCATTTAACCTGTGTTAAATGTGTTACACTTACTTTTTAAACTTGTGTTTAAAGTGGAGATAATACTTATACTACTTACCTCACAAAGTTATTGTTAGAGAAAGTGCTTTACAGTGGATCGTAGAGTCCATCTGCCTTTTGATCAATCAACAAGCACTTATTAAGTGCCTACTATCTGCCAGGCCCTATACTAGCCCCTTCAGGTGCAAAGTCAAAAATGATACCAGTTCCCGCCCTAAAAGAGCTTACATTCTAATAGAGGAGATAACATGCACAGATGTCGGCATTTACAAAAATATACATAAGGTGGGAATATACAAAAATATACTATAGGGTGGGAAGATATTAGCAGCTCAGTTGGTTGTTGTCCTTAATTTTTAAAGAGGACAAAAATGACCAAAATGACATCGCTATATTAGAGTCCAGTTATAATGTGTTGGACTGTGGCTGATCAGACCAATACAAGCTTGGAATGCTCTATTACAGGTCTGGCACAAATAGTCCACATGAATATTTGGGATTGATTCTCTAAATTTGTTCATCTCACATTTCTTTTGAGCTACTTCAATTCTGCTATGCTTATAGAGCATAACCCCTTCTCTGATGAGGGCACGCCATGCTGGGAGGTCCTGTGTCAGTGTTTCCCATGTCACCCAATCAATTCCAAAGTTCTTCAGAGAGACCTTCAGAGTATCCTTGTATTGCTTTTTCTGTCTACCATATGAGCGCTTTTCCTGTGTGAGTTCTCCATAAAATAGACTTTTTGGCAAGTGTACGTTTGGCATTCAAACAACATGGCCAGCCCATCAGAGTGCACTCTCTGTAGTAGAGTTTGAATGCTTGGCAGTTTAGTTCAAGAAAGGACCTCAGTATCTGGTATCTTATTCTGCCAGGGGATTGTCAGAATCTTCCTAAGACAATTCAAATGGAAGCGATGCAGTTTCCTGGCATGGCACTGGTACACTGTCCAGGTTTCGCAAGCATACAACAATGAGATCAGCACAACAGCACTGTAGACCTTTAGTTCAGTAGACAGTCTCATACCTCTTCTCTTCCACACTTTCCTTTGGAGCCTTCCAAACACTGAGCTAACTCTGGCAATGTGTATATCAACCTAATTATTAATGTGTACATCCCTGGAAAGTATATTGCCAAGGTAAGTGAACTTATCCACAACATTCAGAACTTCTCCAATTGTTGTAACTGATGATTCCATGTATAGATGGTGTGGTGCTGGCTGATGGAGCACCTGTGTTTTCTTGGTGTTAATTGTTAGCACAAAATTAGTACAAACAACAGAGAATTGATCCATACTTTGTTGCATCTCAGCTTCAGAGGCTGCAATGACTACATAATCATTTGCAAACAGAAAGGCATGCACCAACACTCCCTCTGGTTTGGTCTTGGCTTGTAGCCTTTTCAAGTTGAAGAATTTACCATCAATTCAGTAGCTGACCTTGATGTCCTATTCATTCTCATTGAAAACATTTGACAACATAGCTGAAAACATTATGCTAAAAAAAAACACGGCACACAGGCTTGTTTCACTCCATTGGTGACTGGGAAAACTCGAGAGCATTGTCTTTTATCCAGAACCCAGGCAAGCATATCATCATGAAATTGACATACAATACTGATGAACTTCTCTGGGCAACTGGATTTTGACATAATTTTCCATAAGTCCTCACGACTGACAGTATCAAAGGCCTTGGTGAGATCTACAAATGTTGTATACAGACCTCTGCTCTGCTCCTGGCATTTCTCCTGGAGTAGTCAGGCAGCAAACACCATATCAACCATTCCTCAGCCCTTTCTGAAGCCACACTGGCTCTCAGGTAAATGACTATCTTCCAGGTGAAGATCAGCCTATTAAAGAGGATTATTTTTACTAGCAATAACTAAGAGAGAGACATTCTGCTCCCCCATGATTGTCACAGGACAATGTGGAGGACAAACCTCCAATGATGGAGGTGTCCTTGAGCTCATGGGGGTAACCTCCTCTTGCCATGTAACCTGGAAAATTTCAGTTAGCTTTTGTATGAGCAGTGGTCCCCCAACCTTGTAAATCTCAGTTGGAATAGAATCAGCACCAGGTGCTTTGCCACATGAAAGGAACCTACTGGTATTCAAAACCAGTCCTTCAGTTGGAAATTTGAGAGGGAATAACTTCAACCTGAGGTAAACAGTCAATTGCTTCAGCAATGATTGATGACAGTCTGTTGAGAACACTATGGAAGTGTTCAGCCCATCTCTGTAGGATCACAATCAGTGATCACTTATAACTTATCAGTGTGGCTCCATCAGCACTGAGTAGTTGAGATGTGCCATAGGTCTTTGGCCCATAAATAGCCTTTAGGGCACCATAAAAAAACGCTTTGGATTGTTATTATCAGCATAAAACTGAATTTCATCTGCTACCGAGCCAAGAATCCTGCATCTCTCTAAGCTTCACTTGTACTTTACTTTTGATGGAATTAAATGTTGCCTTCTTGGAGATGGATGAACTATCCTGTTGGTAAACCCTGTAGAGTTCTTGTTTTTCATTTAGCAACTTCTGAATTCCTTCATCATTTTTGTCAAACCAGTTTTGATGTTTGCGAGTGTTCTGACCCAGATAAGTAAATAAAGTGCTGTACACCAAATCTTTGAAAGCTGCCCACTCCTTTTCTGCTCCACTGTTGCCAACTGTGTGTTGGCTCAACTTTCTTTCCCAGTTAGCAACAAACTGTTCCCACATGGAGAAGCACTCTAATCTGTTAACATTAATTCTTCTAGTAGTTGTTTTGCCTTGGGGCTGCCATTTTTTGTTTTTTTTTTTTTTAATGTGAATATTTAGCTTGGAAAGGATAAGTCTATGTTCAGTCCAGTGCTCTGTCACCCAGAATTATAAGCTGGTCTGCTTTTGTCGCATTGATGATAAGGGTCTCCAGGTCTTCATAAAATTTTTATTTGATTCATCAGGGTTTATCACGGTGGAAGCATAGGCACTGATGATGGTAGCATGGTGTTTCCCTGCAAATGGCAGTTGTATTGTCATGAGCCTGTCATTCATTCCTTTTGGCAGGCATACAAGCTTGTTGACTGATTAGTTTTGATTGCAAAACCTACATCAGCTTCATAGGAAGTATATTGCCAAGTATATTGCCTGGAAAGTATACTGCCAAAGTAAGTGAACTTATCCACCACATTCAGAACTTCTCCAATTGCTGTAACTGATGATTCCATGTATAGATGTGTGGTGCTGGCTGATGGAGCACCTGTGTTTTCTTGGTGTTAATTGTTAGCCCAAAATTAGTGCAAAGAACAGAGAATTGATCCTTACTTTGTTGCATCTCAGCTTCAGAGGCTGTAGTGCTCCCCTTCAATGTGGCCACCCCAGAAAAATGTGTATCCACCTCCAACTTTAGTAAGTTGGCCTTCATTTGCCAGCCTTGTTTCACTTAGGGCTAATATTTGGATGCAATACCTGCTGAGTTCTCTCACAACAAGAGCTGTTAGTCTTTCACGTCTACTGGATTTTGTGTTGTCTATAAATGTGCAAACATTGCATGTACTGATGGTGAATGGAATCATCTTTGCAGAAGTTTCTGTACAATTTTTTGTGTTTTGACTGCAGGGTAGGATCCCTGCCTGATGCAGTAATCCAGCCAGGGTTAAGTAAGCAGACAATTTTTAGGGCACCTTTTCTAGCATCTTCCTCACTCCAGGAGGTGAGCGGTGTGATCCTTAAAAGGCTGCTCGGACACTCAGAAGGGTGCCGAATCTCACTGCTGCTTCCAGTGAGAAGACGACCCAATGGTCTCAGCCACTTGTGTGTGGGGCTGTGACTATAGCTCCCAGTGTATCTGCACTTGTTGCTTTATCACTTGCCTGTCACCACAGGACTTTGAGATAAGTAAAAATGGTAAAATGATATGGGGGATGTCTTTTGATTTGTGCATAAATTGGATTTAAGCGAGGCAGAGTTGCGCAAAGTTGTCAGCCTCACTGTCTTCCAGAGTCATCACAGTCCAGTGGCAGGACAGAGTCAAGATGACTGGGATGGCTCAAGATACAGTAGATGACCTTGGCATCTTCAATGTCTGACCAAGCTCAAAGTGCTCCACAGCACCTGCTTCTGC